AAATATATGAGTGAAATCTACTGTATATTGCAGTAATACCTCTTGTGCTGCGCGGCGCGGTGCATCATGGGATTGATAAAAGTACAAACTGAAGTCTTAAGTTGTGTTTCATGCTGTTTTTCCAACAACAATTATTATATATTTGCCAGACAAGTCTATGAGATACTTTAGAGTACAGCTATCATTCTAAATCATTTTCCAAAGTGTAAAGTAAAACAAAGATATTTTTACAAAGAGACTTCAGACTCTGTAGTAAGATTTCCGCCATCTTGATTCTTTTTTCATTACCGTGATGCACTTCGCCATAACGCAAATGACGTCATAAGTGGACCATAATAATCTCTAATTGTTTTTTTAGGCGYAGTTTCGACGATGCGCAGAGTAGGTTCAAGTGTAGGAAGGTGTTGGGTATCGGTGGCAAGGAACCATCTAAGGTACCAACAAATGCTTTTCAAAATACTTTGAATACACCTTTCCATGTCTTAGGCCTGATAGCAAGCAAATTATTCTTTTGTATTTGACAAATGAGACTATTCATTTTGCATTGCTCACATTCCTACAAATTCAAAAGAATATTTAACATGCTACCGAGGCCTAAGAGCAACTGAAAAGGTGTATTGTGGATTATTCCTCGAAATATGCATCCTATATTATGCATCAGTGTTCTCTTCACTTAACTTCCGTCATTTTTCCTTGCTTTTCAAATGCAAGGGATAGTTCCCTMAAACCCCTCCGTTTTTTGTTCCATTAAAAGTTATCTTACAGTTGGTTACTCAACTTATAACGGACACATCAGTTTTGGACCGACTGCAATAAGTGTTTCCAATAACGAGTKCCCGGAATAAATAGAGTTGGTTCGTATTAATGGAGTGTCCGTRAGGCGAGAGTTGATTGTACTCAATCTGAGACCTAACGCTGRTAAACAGATTRCAACGAACAGAGATAGCCCATTATGTTGCTTAAGACTCTATACACCCTTTTAATAAGTCCCGAGGTATTGTGTTCTCCGCACTTGACGTCAAATTTATTCTTTTGAATTCCTTTTGTATTGTAAAAATTTCAAAAGAATAAATTTGACGTCAAATGCGGAGAACTCAATAGTCTCGGGACTTATTAAAAGGGTCTATATTTCTCCATTTTCAGGTTTTACAAGTACTCGGCAGACACGAGTCGTATTTACTAGTGATACCAAGGGGATATGAGTAAGTAATTGGGGTGCCTGTGTTATATTAAGCACAGGTAGCCCAATYCAATAATAAAACTGTTGTATTTTGTAATTAAAAAGTATTGTTTATGTTGTAGAACTTGGCAGACTGTCATTGGATCCACRTTATTTCTTTTTGGTGTTGTGGTAAGTCGAGATTTTGGGCTTTCGTTCTTTGATTCTCTTTCTTCCTTCCTTTTTTTTCTCACTTTTAATTTCTTTCCTTCATTGTATTTTTCTAGTGGTTAGTTTTTCCTGGTGTGTGGCTATCTTTAGTTGGATCGCAGACAGATCCTGTCATTGGAAACATGTCTTGTCGTATTATCGCTGGTGCACTGTTCGGTGAGTCGACAATCGACAATCGATTGACAAACAATCACAATCGACAATCGGCAATCGATTGACAATCGACRCTACAGAAGTGACGACAATTACGACAAAACACGCAACTGCTGCAAAAGAAACAAACAAACAAAACAAAAAAACAATGCCACCAAGAACAACAACATAGACAACAAGAGCTGTAACATTAATTACAACTACAACTTACAACAACGATACTTTCAGCTACAGCAGTAACATCAAGTAATGTAACGATAACATGTGTAACCAGAAATAACAAACCAAACATCATAGTAAACGTTTATYTGCTTATTTTAGGAATTGTTGCGATTACGTGGTATACTGAACCTTCTTCTATGCAATCACTTAGGTATGTCACTAACACTTGAATGGCTTCATGATCAATCGTTCTATTTTGAATCGAATCTTAATGGCCTGAAACCCTCTTTCTCAAAGAAGACACTTAATTGGTTTTCTGATTGAACATTCGTCGTGTGGAAGATATCCGTTAATCAATAGGAAGCACTTGATTGGATTCCCTATTGATTGTTCACAATGAAGATGTTCGTTAATGAACGTAAATCAAAATAAGACCTCTTGCGAWTTTTTCTTAATTGGATTTTCTCTAAAAAGCGTTTATCAACGAATCCACATGATCAACAATTCTCTTGTACCAAGCACTTTGATGGTTTTATGGACTGCCACACCTGCTGCAGTCTCATTACATACACACAKAAATGACCTCACATGGTCTCACTTCGGAAGCACTTAAAAGGTTTCCTGATTTAACACTTCAATGGCTTCCATTAGAACCATCCAGCATTTTAATGGCTTTCTCAATTAAAGGCTTTACTAGTAAWGATGGAAAAACTGAAAAAAGGAACATAAAAACAGAGATAATGTTTTGTTTGTTTTAGATGGTGCGGTGGGTGCCATTTAAATGTCAACTAAGRTGTRCTCACATTTRTCGATGATGAAAGATTCTAATTGTTTAATTGTTTGTAGGAATATCCTCATGTTACAATACATCTACAATGGCGTAGCAACGTTCTGTATGTATCATTAATTGTGACGTCATGAGCATTAGACTTTTATGGGCATTTCAAACTGTGAACTACAGGCAAGCAGTTTTAAAGCCCATAAAGGTCGGAAGCGAATATTTTATAATGTTTATTAAATCTCAGCATAAGCTAAGGCATACTTTGCTAAAAACGTCAAGATGAACACAGGCAGCCCGAACCTGAAGCACAAGTATTTTACAGTTTTTATGTTATTTTTCAGCCATGACATGGGCGTTTATGACCAACAAGTCCAAGATTCTTCTGTGCTTGGCCATTATCCATGGTTTTCTTACAATAGGAAGTGTTTTCTACTACTTTGCGTTCAGAGAAATGAACAAACCAACACCTGATAAACCTTATAGTAAAAGTATGGATGATAAGAATCACATAGACTAAATCAACCAATCACCGACTTACTTCTATAGACCTTTAGTGGGTGAATGTTRAGGCAARRAAGACGGCTTTGTGGTTTTTGATGTTGATTAGTGACTAAAGACAGTCGTTAATGTTGTTTAAATGTTGTTTATTGATATGGTTATGATAATTGTCACGTGATTATGCATGATGATTATGATGACGCTGTTGATGRTGATGATTTCAGTGRCCTGACTTTTACATCAAGTGCTTATACTGTGAAACTGTTTTACTGTACAAWTTCTTCTAGCGTCATGCATTTGAGCATTCTATTGTATCAAAATTTACGTACTTTTGCGCAACGTACTCACGCGTGAGGGACTGTTTTGCGTGACATGATCTTTTGCGTGACATAATCTTTTGCGTGACATGATCTTTTGCGTGACTAAATTGGCAATACAATGCATTTTGCATTGTTGACCATGTAGTGTGGTTTCACAGTACTATCTAAACCTTAGCGTAACAAGACTTTTAGTGTGACTTGTAGTGAGTAATGCGTGATTTATTGAGTCATTGCGTTACCCAACCAATGCAGTATTGTGTGACATCATGTAAGGTGTAGTGCTACTAGCAGGATCATCTCATTCTCACTTAATTTCGCGAGTGCAACATTTCGCGATGTTTAAGATTTTGAAAGTCAGTGAAGTTATCAATGAAGTATCTGTACATAAGATAGTGTAATAGTGATTTAAAAAGAGTTTTTTTTGTCAAAGGTATTACGCAATGCCTGTGATTTTTGTTACGTATTGCTATTTACWTTCGACAACTTCGTTTGAAAGAGATGCATACATACAATTTCCTTAAAACATGATGATTTCTTCATGATCGTCCAGGGCTGTAGCCACAGTTGGTACGGTTTTCTGGGATAGCATTTACCAGGAAGAGATGGTCTTGTGGTCAATATTGGTCAGGTTGTGGCTATGACCCCGCCGTCCTTTCCTTGTCAATATCCTGAACTTGATACCGAAGTAATGCTTTAAGAATTTCTTTCCCAGTAATGCATTTCGGGTTTGAAGATCTCAGGTTTTAAGCAAAATTTGACTTACGGTTCTACTTTTAGGTAAACTTTATGAAACATCACTTAGTCTTAGAGTGAGCTCCTAGTATACGAACACCTTTATAAGGTGCGACCACATAATGAGGAGATCTGTAAAGAAATCAGTGGAACATTTACAGGAAAATGAGTGAGTGAGTGAAAATGAGTGAGTGAGTGACAGATCTGCCGTTTTTAAAAACTCATTGATTGCGAAAGCAATCTCCGAGTTAAATTTATAATTCTTATGCATTCTTTAGAACTGAATATGTACCCTCTGTATTTCGAACACCTTCATATTCCGTACGCTGGTGATCGTTTGTCAGACATACAGAGTTTCCAATGTAGTCATTATCGTAGCTTAATAACGTAATAATGTTTAGAGCCCGGTTCTTTCGAGAKGTCATTGCCGGCTCGCGCGGAGCGAGTTTTATTCTTTTCCATATTGTGAACCAGTGCGATCAACGATATTTTTTTGTGCTGGAGATCTTAAAGTTTGCGTAAAGTAGAACTGCATATTAATAATATATAATATGTGAATATTATGAACGATCAATTGTAAATTATATATTAAGATGATAGATGTCATATATCTTATTAAAGTTATATTGAATTGATCAAAATCACTCTGTAATGACTCATGAATACAATACAGCGCACGCAATGGACAGAACAGACTTTTTTTTAAAATTGTAATAGATCGCCCCTTTCTGTATCGACTAGACATCGACAAGTTCCGGTTGTATCGACAAAAGCAAACAAAAGTTATTCCTGTCGAGTAATAAAAAAACAGTGTCTTTACTTTTGTTGCCATATGGCCTGATCAATATTACGCATGACACGATAGTAYGATTAATTGAGTTTTGTTCATTTTTCCATATTTTTCCTCATTATTGGCATTTCCTCTTTTCCTTCTTTCTCTTCCTTTATTCCTTTTTTTTATTCTTTTTCCTCTCTTTTTTTCTTTCTTCCATTAACATTTCTTTCTACACACTTTTCAAATTGGACGTCGTACATCTACTAGTTCCTGCCATAACAAACACTGTACTGTGTCTAATATGTGATGTCATAAATTTTTGGCAATGGCTTTTATTTCTTGAGTGTGGTCAGTGTTTTGACTATGACAGAAATTATTTTTAGGAGCGAAATGAGATAAAAATATAATTCAAGAACAATACAGGGCACTTGCAACGTTATATACGCCGCCTTTTATATATATTTTACGCCGCACCAGRCAGCTTTTTTATTTCTATTCTACTTCCATCCTATTCCATTCCCACCCCATTTTCATTTYATTTCTGTCCCATTACCGTCCGGCACATTTCCCGTTTAAAAACTAATTTTCAAACATAATATATTCATTTCGAGTCAAAACACTTGCCATGATAATACTTCAACGTACAGGTGTCAATACTAAATAATTAATCACCATATTAAATGGACAGTCCTTACGAGCTCACGACCGCTTTATGCTACTTGTAAATATATTTATTTGATATGAAAAAAAATAATGTCAAACAGTGTAATAGCGCGCGATACATAGAAAATACAAAGAAAAACCTGCAAAGAAAAGTGTAATACCCTAAAGTGTGTTCCACTAGTTATGAAAACCTTCTGAAAAATCTCCCTCTAAAATGTTAGTATTTATTTCACGGATTAAACTGTGTGTGTCTACTATTCGACAAATTGAACGTAGTAAGATCCCTGCTAAGAACTCCTACCATTCATTTCGCACCCCATTTCTCATTTCCCATCCCATTGATCATTTATCATCCGATTTTTCATTGATATATTTCTATCGGTCAAAACACTCTCTTTGAGATGATCACTACTTCTGAGGTGTCATGTCCTCGATAATAGATGGCTAATCCTTCTAATTCACCTAAGTAACTAAGTCTTCCGAGTGTTTCTTGTAAAACAGCACGAAATATATTGACATTGATGACCAGCTTACGATATTACAAGACAAGAGGAAAAATTAAACACCAGCGATCCCCTGGAGTGYCTATGTATTGARCTAATCTGCTMTTTTGATCTGAACTAAACTAGGGGACAAACTAGGGACTGAGTAAGCTTTAAATGTCATTAGGGGATATATGTTTTGTGAGGTGTTATTGGTGAGGTGTTATTTGGGAATAGATGGAATTAATACTAGAAAAATCATGAGGGAAATGAGACGTCATTCGTAAAACTGTGGAGAATATTATAATAGTCAATATATGGGGATTAAGACCACTCAGTTGTATTAAAGTAAGTTTGATGCCCTTATTTCACAGTCAACGCCCCTAAGGCAAAAGGCTACGATATATACATGTTCTTGACGTTACAAATCTTGAACAGTTGTCGCTAGTCTCAACGCATTACCCCTACAYGAACAGAGAATTTTTCAACCATCTTCTACGAAGAAAARGWTATAMATAGTAGACRGTGGAAAAAAGCTTCTGCTCKCAGGGTAACACGCATAGACGGAAGAAATACATTTGTGTTCRTGGCGATTTCCTCAACATTCATTTAAGTCTTCTAAATATAATACGCTGTATTCCATGTGGGATGGGAAGGAGAAGGATTTATAGAGCATGCGCACTATGTCAACAACAGATAAACGAACGGACGTGTTAACCTAAGAGCTTAAAAGCTTCAATTGAGAAGCCAAGGAAGTCTATCCACTTAGCGATCCGTTAGGAATCCGCTAACGTTGAAGCGATGGGATTCACGTTAATACTGACCAAATGATATTTCACTGATCATAGAGTGACAGACCATATCAGAAATGAGACTTATCTGTCTTAAACAAATATCAAAATACAAAAGGATTGTGGAAAAAAAATGTCTAGTCAGATTTTTTTAGAAACTTAAGCACTTAAACGGATTGACAATTCAAATAAACACTTCATGATTGTGTGGATTACMAATATTAACATTTCAATATGGAGATCTGCTTCAARGCGAACATTTATCAAGCACGCAATGTTATGTTTATATATGAGATACGGCATTAAGCACAAGTACACTTGGTTAATAGTTATTTGTCTTAAAGCAGTAACTGGAGTTTGAAGKACCTTTCAAGAACGGAAGCATCTCAAATGCRATAGAGAACAAMACAAGCTCACCACACCTRAATGATATGCAAACAAAACACCAAAAAGSCGCTACAGTAAGWTATTCTACACATATACACTGTAAATATAATCCATTATTTCTCCATGCTTGCTGTGGATATTAGTTGGAGGGAAGAAAGCACAACAACTTAAGGAGAAGATGTAAAAAAAGGTATGAGAAAAGAGGAGTTTGCGCTAATACGTACGAGTTTGRACCATCACTTTCATCTTTGTGTATTTGAAGATTGGTAGCCTTTACATATCTATAACAGAAGAAATTGAAARTTTTGAACAAGAATTTTTCTGAGTAAACTTCCAGGCTTGCATGTGGTCATAACAGAATAAACTAGAAGTTAAGACACTATAATACGCAAGAGTTTTGGCGCCGAAAARGGTGGAYGRGCTGCTGAATACTGAGTGAAACTCGAATAACTTCTCGGTCGTGCCGTTCTGCCGCCATTCAACCTGACCCATTGAGATTGTATCAAAGTCTAGAAGAGGAAAATCCTTCGCACATTATAAAGTTTCCGCTCATTTTTGTTGGGTTTCTTATCGAAAGTACATCTGATACAATCTTACGTAACAAACACACGTACTCAGTAGATCCCGCTACGTACACGTCCAATTACACGCAGCCAAGACGCAAGAGAATAGGAACATTTTACTTGAAAATTGTCTTCAGTTCATCAGTCGTTGATATACTGCAAGGTGCCTGCGAAGTTTTTGATGAAGAAGAGTTTATTTTTTATTTTTCTAACTTATTTCATGGAATCGTGACCTGAGGCTTGATAGATATAATCTTTCTCTATTKGCGATATATTTCCTTCGCACTGCTGCTTCATTCTGAACACAGCCGGGGTTAATAAATATAGAGCGAAAACCAAGATTCTCTTCTCAAATCCATCAAATCTGTATTTGACGAACAGAATGGAAAAACAATATAAACATTTTTTGAATGGTTACCGTTTGAATGATAAACAAATATCGAATGGAACCTGTTGTTATTAACTTACTTAACCAACTTGGTCAAGAGCGCATGCGCCACTCAAGAGAGCATTAACCCTGAAGAAAACCAAGCTGAAGCGTCAAGATYACAGTTTTGAAGAACAAAGTCATACGGTCCTCAAGAAAAAACGACTTAGGCAAGGAATGCAAAGCAGAGGTTATAAAAATACATGAACTCAAGTGCCTAGCTGTAGGATMTTAAGTCGGTGATAGGGGTTTAAAGCATGGTATAAAGTGATCTAAAGATTGTCATCAAAATTTACTGAAGAACTTGATAAACTAAAGGCACAAAGGAAAAGKGAGTTTTGTCAGAAACAGAAACTAACTGTACGAGAACATCACTGAATCAAGCACAGAAAATAAAGACTAGCAAGAAAAGGAGCCTCGTGAGTTGACTGAGGGATGACAGCCACCGAATAGTCAATCACTCCTTCAAAAGCAAACACAAAAACCTTTCAGATAAAAAGTACTGTGAAAGTAAAAAGGCCAAACTACGTTGAGAAAAAAGACACATCGAGGAGAAGTTATTTGACTGGCACRCCGCGAAGGTGGGAAAGTACTCCTTTAAAAGCTGACAGAAAAAGAAAGTACATAAAATTTGAATCAACATTGAAAAGTGACATTCATATACGTTATGAGTATATGTTATGAAGAAACCTGACTCATTTGTTTCATAATGCATTCAATACTGAACCTCTACATCACGACAGTGTTTGTGATTCTGATATTGTTATCTGGAGTTTTCTGCAATATTTTCATGGTCTTTGTGATATTCAAGAGCCCACGCCTAAAGGGTGAAAATCATGTTTTGATCGCAAACCTCGCAATTGCAGACCTTCTACAATCTCTAAACATGTCGTTCATGTTAGCAACGCTGTTTAACGGYGGTCAGTGGCTTCTCGACAACGTTACGTGTCAAATCAATGCGTTTCTTATCATGGAGTTCCTGCTTGCCGCGATGTTTACGATCTGYGCGATAAGCGTCAATCGTTACGTAAAGATCGTGAAACCACGTTGGTAYTCACGTATTTTTAACGAGGAAACTATCTGTAAGATCATTATGACGATATGGCTKCTGCCACTAGTGTTTGCTATCCCACCCCTTCTAGGGTGGTCTAAGTATAGTTTTGACCCTGGAAAATGTATTTGCTTCTTTAAGCCTGATCACGTGGGGTCCTATGGTCTTGTCATAGGGATCGTTACCATGGGAATCACAGTACCCATAATCCTCTACTGCTATTTTTGGGTATTCAAAGTCGTAGGAGTTCATTCAGATCGAATGGAAAAGCTTCGTAGCCGACGTAGTTCCGAAATTTCATCGCACATCGAAGAAATCCGGATCACACGCACATTATTAATTGTCATGGCAACGTTTATGCTATGTTTTTTACCGGGYACGGTTGTCATAGTGATTCAGGTTACAACGGATCAGCATACGGTGCCCCCATGGGCTGAGCTTATGGGGATGATGTGCGCGTTTGCTAACCAAGCCATCGATCCAATCATCTACGGCTTTTATAATACGCAGTATCGACGCGCCATGGTACGTTTATGGTCACGTAAGCCCTTGCGTAAAAACGCTTATGTTAACTCTACGGAAGCAAATATGCAGCATTCCATTACGATCCACGGTAGATATTCCGTAGGCGGTGCGTTACTTGTACTTTTTATCGCTACGGAAAATGAATTATTACGGCATAATGCTATAGCTGCTAGTGCCAATATGGGATTGAAAAGACTTAGACTGCAGCCTACGGAASCGCAAGACGACGTTACGAACGATAAACTGAACGATGTAGAATCTYCAAACTCTGACGATGAAGAAATGAATTAAGCAATTTGATCCAAAAGATTGGGCTTCCTGTATAATTGATAACGGCAATCCCACGCGTTGAATCTCGTACCCGCGGGTCCAGTATATACACTATTGCGTAAACACTGCGTAATTTGACAAAGTACACTCAGTATGTCGCATTTCCCTCGGGAGTTTGTCTGAGGGGTACGAGAATCCAGGCAGGTTTTCTGTCGGGTTTCCTGTGTAAGGGGACAAGTGAAAGAACAGGCTCAGATAGATTCAATGTTGTCATAGCAACACTGCTATGACTTTAATAGTTGATTAATTTACAGATACCTCTGCAAACTTGTGAATTATTTGCTTAAGTTAAATTAAAGATCAATCGAGTAAATTTGACGTTCAGGCTTGTGTCTTGTGGTTGCTATTTTTTTTTCCTTCGAGGTCGCGAGTGGTTCCTGTTTTGCTGATTCCTGATTCCCATTTTTCAGTTGTTCTTTTTTAACGCGTGAAACCTCATTGACCTCATTTTCCACCAAATCACGACAAATTCGCTTGTTATCTTTCTATGATTAAGACAAACCGAGAAATAAACATGAATATTTATCCATCACCGGCAACAAATATTCTTTATCACTCGTTGTGTGACATTTTGTTCGTGACAAAAAAGGTCGATTCATTTCCGCTTTTGAAGCCACTTCCGTCTGCGTCCGAGTTGGTCGCATTCCTGAAATATCTCTAACTTTTGGGTTTATATTGGAAATATGTCTCTGTTTTAAGCGGGAACACAGATAAAATTCATTCAAAAAAAGATATTTTCTGCGTGATGGKGATAAAAATTCCTTAACAAACCAAAGTCGGCTAAAATTTTGCCAACGTGTCAATCTTTCACCAATCAGAAACGTCTATTAAATCACATGACAGCTTTCGACCAGTTAGAATAGCACACATCTTTAATGAACTTGACTCGTTTGAGGTATAAGAGTCCGTGTTGCCCGTGCTATATTGTTGATAATTGCACGGGTACTGGTCAAKAACAAAAGGGCAATACAGTATAATAACCAGCCTCTCAAAATGGCGAATATCGTACAGGTCTTGTCGTTCTGTTTGCTAGTAAGTTGTGTCYTTGCAAGGCCACAGCAAGATAAGAAAGGCAAGGATAGAGTATTCGAGGGTAAAGTTTCAACAGAGGACCACTTTAAGGGAGAAGATCACAACGCCGAYTATGACCACGAAGCATTTCTTGGAGATGAAAAGAAAACATATGATCAACTAACACCGGAGGAATCCARAGAACGACTCGCGTAAGAAAATATGAAATGTCACCTTATAAACTATGCCAATCCTGGCATGTTTGTGATTTTAACGGGTAAAAAATTAACCCAAAATATTTAATAATGCCTAGTGAAGAACAGTTTCAAGCATGAATTGTCTAAATAGGAAATTATGGAATTATTTACCGATTTGTTTGTTTGAAAAGTCGTGATTTGAGGTGTTTTCAGACGGGCTGTCAAATTTGTCGAACTTGTGCTAAAGACCACGACCGATTTTGTTTGAAAAATATAATATTTCTGAAACAAGAAAAATGATTTTAGTTTACTTGTTTAACCGAGAAAACTCTCAACATTATGAATAATTTATGAAATGTAAGAAAAATAGTGATTTTTGAAGTGGAGACCCTTATCCAAGGTTTGTGTAGTCAAAACAGAATGGCAAGGTACCTTAAGCGCTATTCTATATCCATTATGAACAAGTCAATGAAGAAAAAGTGTTTTTATAAGGAAGAGGTTTATGTTTTAGCTGTGTTGCCTAGCAAATCACCAAATTATTBGCATTTACAATATTTGCTTGTTTGCCACGTGTCCGCTGTGTTGCTGGTAACCGAAAATACTCTAGGGAGGGGAGGGTAAGAAAGTAAATCTTATTTTTTTTTAAATAAATGTATTTAATAAATAGATTTTTTAACTTTCTAAATTACCAAAGAATCTTTATTAGTTACCATATTATTTTGTATATTGACTCAAGCTCTTTTATTTCTTCTTCAAATTCATCAATTTTTTCAATTCTTTTTGTTTATTCAGTATAGATCAATATTTATTTAGAAAAGCAGTTTAGTGGAACAGGTTTTAATTTCTATGTTGATATGATCAGTGTTCAGATGGCACCATGAAAAAAAGACAAGATTAAAATATGGAAAAAGTGATTACATAGAGAAAAAAAAGGTTTTGTGGTAAAAATTTCAATTTGACATTCAATATAATTTACCATAAATATAAAAATTCAAATGAGAAAATAATGTAATATGGCAATGAATCCTGATTCAAAGTCATAGAGACTCATGTGAGCCTCAGGCTTCTTCATAAATATAATTTTATTTACTTACCTTTTACCATTCAACAAATTAACTTTTTTTCTTGCAGAAAATTAATAGATAAAATAGATCATAATAAAGATGGCAAAGTAAACCGTGAAGAACTAGAACAGTGGATCAAACGATCAGCAAAGAGATACATATATGAAGACGTAGACAGACAATGGAATCATTTAAAGAAGATAGAGGACGCCAAGCGACCATTACAAGACATTGCTGACGGTAAACAGGTTGATCCTGATGCCCCATTTACCTGGGAACAATATAAAAACGATACATATGGTTTCATAAAAGGTACTTATTGATAATTATTAATTTATGAATGATATTAATTGCTTACTGAGCTTGTGAATTTGGTTTTCTGAAATCTATATATTCATTTAAAATTCACAAGATAAATACAGTTTAAAGATAAAATGGATTCTGTGATTACAATTTGTGTTCTTGATTTTTCATATGATTTTTACCTTGGCTTTTCCCCACTTGTTTTTGTAGAGGATGATAAAGAAGGTTATAATTATGATGATTTAATCCGCCGTGACAGGCGTCGATGGGAGAAAGCAGATATCAACAAAGATGATAAGCTAASCAAAGAAGAATACACTGCGTTTTTACACCCTGARGAATATGAATACATGAAAGATGTTGTAGTTGAGGAAACTATGGATGATATTGATAAAGATAAAGATGGRTACTTGTCATTAGATGAATATTTAGGTAAGAAATCCACTTTAAAGGGACATTGTCACCAGCATCCCTTTCGAGCTTTTGCTCATTTTTGAAAGTAAAAATACATTGTAATATAAGCAAAAACTTACTCTTTATTATCCCTTTATACTAAAATTACGAATGGAGATTCAACCATTAAATTGATGGATAGAAACGGATTGCAAAGATATTCAAAGTCACCTCATTTTCCATATATGAAAAATCTTAAACACGACTGCATTGCATGCTGGTGATCTCTCTATATTTACTTGTTCTGTTATTCATTCATGCATTCATTCATTTATCCACTCATCCTTCCATCCATTTATTCACAATATAGCTCATTTATCAAAAAATCACAATTGACCTTGGAGTCTAGTCCMATAATGATATGCCCAGACCTCCACTGGCTATTGTAGAAACAGGAATCCCATGATGTTCCATTTATAGGTGATTTATATCCTGAAAGCGATAAAAAAGATGGTGAAGAACCTGATTGGGTGAAAACTGAAAGACAACAATTTATGGATGTTAGAGACAAAAATAAAGATGGCAAAATGGACAAGGTATGGGTTACCTGTGTACTTGGTATTATTGTAGTAATGGGTTACCTGTTTGCAGTTGATGTGATAGTAGTAATGGGTTACCTGTGTACTTTGTATGATGGTAGTAATGGGTTACCTGTGTACTTTGTATGATGGTAGTAATGGGTTACCTGTGTACTTTGTATGATGGTAGTAATGGGTTACCTGTGTACTTTGTATGNGTATTGAATTGTCTTTGTAGGACGAAGTACGGGAATGGATTGTCCCCCCTGATTTTGATCATGTCGGTGTTGAAGTAACTCATTTGATTAATGAAGCAGATGAAAATAAGGTTAGTTACCATAGCAACAGTCTTTTATATTTGAACCACCTTAAGGTTTGTACTGTCAAAAAGTTGAAAATTTCTTCCAATAAAAAGCTAAAACTGAGGCTTTCATGACACTATATTTCCATTTTCATTATATTTTAATGTGATTTTATTTATTTTTTAATTTTTTGGCTATATTTCAGGATGGTGAACTATCAAAGTCAGAAATACTAGACCACCAGGATGTGTTTGTTGGAAGTCAAGCCACAGACTTTGGCGAAGCTTTAACAAGAAACCATGATGAATTTTAACAAGATAGCTTAGTTTTCAAGGTACCCCCACCCCACCCARCACAGTCTTCTTGTCTTTTCATCAAGTCGTTTATTATAAGAACACATCAAAGGTTTAGATGTTATTAATACAAGTGAACTTGATATTTTTGTAAACTTTTTTGCCCCCAAGAGACTTCCTTGAAGAGAGGAAAACCTAACTGTTTGTTATGAAGACCTTACAGACAGTCCATTACAGACAGTCTAAAGATTTTTTACAGAAATCCTGGCATTTAGTGTTTTTATTAACCATTTTTCTGTGATATTAACCAACAGTTTTAATACTTATTGACATGCGACAAATGCTGTTTTCCAGAGGTTAAATAGCTCCTTTTTAAGAAACAAATACAAAATTTTATCAGATTATAGATAGAGATTTCTAAACATCGTGTATATTTCGAAAATTTACCAAAATAAAGATTAATATTGTTACGATTTCATGAAAATGAGATTAAAATATTTTGCTGTTTTGACTTCCTTGTAATAGTCTCAAGTGTTGCAAGAAAATACTGCATTATTAACACTGAAGGTTTTCTAAAAACATGCATTATTAAAATTAAGAGAAAGCGGGCAAAGAACGACAGTGTTGGTAAACAATTTACTCTCTGTCGCTGTAATTGTTGTCGTTCTATTGGTAGGTATTTTGATTATCAGTCGAATAACATTAACTCATGAATTTCCAGTAACCAAACGACAATAAAGACGAACCTTTAAAGCCTTTGAAATTTAAACTAATCGTTGGACTAGCCCTGAATCACTTCAATTTATGATCTCATGAACTTATGGAAACCACTTTAATCTTTAGCAAAACAACTATTGGTAATCCTTTCAAACGGATTAACCAATTGTTATCAAMAACTTGTGGCAGCAGGGATGTTTTTATGAAAATATTGACATGCGCGTGACAGGAATGATGTGGGCACATGGGTCTTTCACTTGTAATAGCATGGTAAATAACACAAAATYATATGAAAAAGGAAGGAAGAAAAAGAAAAAAATGGAAAAAAGAAAACTTTAAGACTTTAGAGGTTTTTTTGCAGTTATTAAACATCGCTGATGACAATYCTGATTTCACAAAGTTTTCTTATTATTTACCATGCATATTTAGTTGACTTTGTCATCATAACAGTTGCTTAAGAAACACCGACGCAGTTTCAATATTATCTTAACTTGGTCTCCTTATTTTTTAATACTCGAGCTTTGTGAAAAGAAACGTCATTGTGTACATTTCACACAASAACCATCATGCACCGCGGTCCTGGCTCGATATCTTCGCATTAGGAAGATCAGCCAGTTCGAATTAGGAATATCCCAATTTAATCCGATTTAAAATCGATTTCCCCCATTAGTTTTAAGACAATATCCGCCTATTCATGGGTACTTCTTTGATATAATCGGAAATACGGTCTGTCGATATCAAGGCGTAATGGTGAAAGTATAACACGCATCGAGCGCGTAAGGCATCATGGTTAGTGAGTATTATAGGATTTTACGTAGTCAATGTTATGTCAATAGAGGCGGGAAAAGAGTTCTTTTGTTGACTGAATGTGAAATGAATTAATTGGACAGAAATTATTCAAAAGGTCGTACAAAAAGAACATTTTATATTGTTCAATTTATAACTATAGACAGTTATTTTTGCATTGGAATTTCGCCGACGGTTTCGAGATTGAGTTCGAGTACAAGTTTTTAAATTGCACTCGCGTTTGTTGATGAATTTTGATTCTTTAGATAGATTGAAACATCAAATGAGTGAGGATAAAAAGTAAATCGTTCACTGTAATTCACGCAGGATCAACAACAGAACACCATGGCAACCATTACGGTTTTAAAACTCGTACTCGAGTCCCCAATGATGGACATGCAATGATAGATCATAATTTTAAGAATAAAATAAAGTATAAAAAAGCAGCTGAAATATTCTAATAAATACAATGTGCATGTCTAGTATGGCTGGATGCATGGCAAACATGACCATTAAATCAAATGACAGAACAGATGGGAAATTATCCCTTCTAATTTTCCAATTCAACTTCGTCCATTATATTTCTTGCATAAGTGACGTCCCACGACTGCGACTTTGATGTATTTTCAATCAACTAGCTGTCATGTAAATGGCTTATTAGACAATATCCAATGAAAGTGTTCCATTTCTTGGACGTGGATTTTTGTTATTAATGTTTGAAGAACAAGTTGAAGCTTTCATTTTCCAAAGCGCTACTTTGAACATTGAAATTTAAAACAAAACTCGAATAACWCTTTAGATTCACCTTCTGGCAAGGAAGCGTCATAACGGTTTAGAGAATCGATATTACGAAGTATTTTCTGTCGGAACTATATTGAAGAAAGCAGCTGTTTTCATATCATAACACCTCAATCTGTCATAGGCATCGGTAAACCATTCGAGTGCTACGGAACAAAAGATCGGCGAGTTCTATTTATGCAGGGAAATGGATCACTATCATGATCAAGCGAGTCATTAACTTTTCTTTTTATTGCTTCTGTATTAACATGTGCTTAATACTTGGTTTATGACATTCGAAAAATGTTGCATTTATCTGTGACCTGCAGCATTCAATAGGTTACCATTGTTCAACCAGTGTTCGAAGGCCTTGTTTGTAAAACCATTGGCAATTGAAGAAGAACACTTGACTGGATTTCTACTTTGAAATGGTTTATCTACGAAAAGCTGTGTAACTCTTTATTATTAGACGGTGAAATGGTTAACAAGCAGCATTTTAATGGCTTCCTGAATTTGATTGGATTCCTTCCAAAACATTAATTTCAAGTAAAATCCTCACCGATGGTCTTTGCCAAAACAGCTGAACTCATCAAATCCTCTGGAATAGAATTGATGAAATTTTTCGAGATTGTAATTAATTGATCATTTRTTCTAGAATCAATCATCAGACAACATAACGATATCAAGCACCTGTTTCATACAGTTGAAAGTGAAAGAGATTCTGCTAGAGAAAAAGTTGGCTCCATTTCATCGATTGATTAAATATTCTCGAACATATCCAACTGAAGAACACGCAAATGGAACGATCGATCATGGTTGATGTGGACCCAGTTCGTAACATAACCAAATGTAATCCAGTATTAGATGTTTCATTCCTTGCCGTTTATACCGTCCAAGCGCTGGTAATCTTCATCGGCAACTTCTTGACTTGCATCGTTTTTCTATCAAAGAAACGTCTTCGCGAAGTGTACATGAATGTTTTCCTCATAAGTCTGGCCGTTTCTGATTTCCTGGTTTCTTTGCTGGTATTTCCTGGATATGTTGTGTTCTGTATCTCGTGTGTAACGTCGCAATACGCTAAAAGTGACACTGTGTGTATTGTTCTMGATGGTATCAAGGATTATGTTTTACTGGCCAATGTGTTCAGTGTGTTGTCCATCACGTTTGATCGCTTCATCGCCGTGTTACGCCCTCTCAAATACATGACAACGATCACTAAAAGGTCTGTTARAGTAATGTTAGTATCATCATGGCTGCTTCCCTGGCCGATTGCTTATATGAAGCAAATCCTAATGGAGATCAGCCCCAGGATATTTCATGATAAACAYYCCCGGTCCATATACGACAATATTGTCGTGTTTGTGTGTATAATTTCACCAATGTTCGTCATCGCTGTCGTCAATTGTATGATCACCAAGGTGATAAGAAAACAAAATGCACGTATCCATTACCATAGCAACATGAACATTGCGTCATACCAAGCACGTGATGAGACGTCATTCAATCAAGGATCACGTGGTGGTAGTAATGACCATGTTACACCACGTCAAGAAGAGTCTCACCATATTGAGTCACGTGACGATAGTCATAAATCACGTGACCCACCCCGACACTCACGTGATGTTCATGACGTTTCATTTCAGCAGCGTCCCAGCGACATTGCTTTACAGTCTGTCGATAGGCCACGCACGTTGACAGAAGAGACTGATTGGTCACGTGATGATTGGTCACGTGATGATGAAGCGCGGGAAACAAAGTTTGATAAAAGTATGGGTCTAGAAATTCAAACCCAAGGCTGTAATGCCAAAAGTTTACATGGCCAGAGCTCGATAACTGCACCATGTGATCTTGACTTTAATGACAAAGTGTCACGTGACAACTGTGACGTAGCATGTGATGTCACACAGTCAAACAACGATGGTATCAAGACGGAAAGTCTAAAAGGCAACGTCTCTGAAACACAAACATGCCATCTACAGGATGCAGCTAATAGTATTTGTTGTGACGATCAACCATCAGACAATATCGTTAGTAAAACGCAAGAAAAAATATTAAACAAGTCATCTAAAATGCAATGTTCATTTAAAGTGGGAAATCCTAACGAAGCATCGCAACGTAATACTAACGGCGGGTTTTCGAGAGATGAAGAAAAAGAATTAAATGATGTTAAACCAAGTGTGTTGACTAAAGCCACCAGCCAACGACGCGTTAAGAACAAACGCAATAAAGACAGTAATAAATCATCCGCGTCGTTAACCGAAAGACTGAGAAAGATTTCTCGTGAGCTGAGAGAAAGCAATGGCACTCGTTCCTGTTTAGTCGTGTCCATGATCTTTGTGGTCTGTTGGATTCCTCGTTGTTTGTTAAACATCTTTAGATTGTTTTTACCTCATGGTATTGTCGATGATTATCTGCTCGAGAGGATGTCGATGTTATTTTTGTTTTTTCAGTCGTTGATGAATCCTCTGGTTTATTCCTTTTATAGAAAAGATTTTAGACAGGCTGCTAAAGATATATTATACAAGCTCGATTAACTGATTGCATTGATAGATCGAATGACTGATGGACAGGCTGCTAAAGATATATTATACAAGCTCGATTAACTGATTGCTTTGATAGATCGAATGACTGATGGAC